TACATCTTTTCTCAATCTTTGGCGGCTTTGTTTACATTTATTAAACAGTTTACAAGCATGAAAAATTCCTAATCAACTGTTGTTATTGTTATAAACAGCCTCCTGGTGCTTCGGAAATCATTAACTGTTTAATATTTGTAAACAAAGCCACCAAAGATTGAGAAAAAATGTACACGTTCGTAAGTACTTGTGTAACTGCTTCGTGAATCTGGCCCCTGGTGTGGTGGTGTTATGGTGTTAACACCAGGTTCTCCCAGAACCCCTTTTGGGTGCTCAGGACAGTTTGATCCAATGCTAGAAACTGCCATTTTTCTTGTAGGGCAGTTGGTAAGGGATTGTACCAACAAATTTTGGCTGGCCAACATTCTTGCATTAGTAACTTACCCTTTATTAATATGGGGCTTATTAGACCCAAGGGGTCGAAAGGTTTACTGATTTGCGATAATAGGTTTCCTCATAGTTAAGTTGATGTCTGGTTCCAACAATTTGATGGTCAACTGATCCGAAGTTATATCCCATTCGACTCCTCATACCTTTATCTTCTTGGGTACCTTGTAGATGGGAAATTCTGATTTAATTTGACATTACTGGAGGTCCATGACTAGAGAGGAATAATTACTTCCAGCAACTCTCGATTGGCCTCTTGATATATGTTCAGCTGTTTCTCTTTACCGCTGGTAGTTCCTTGGAAATTGGCCACATGCAGGTTGTTGTTAATTTCAGTTTTATTTTCAGTTAAATAATAATTATTATTTATTTTATTTAGACTTCTTCAAATGCATATCTAAGGTTGCTTGGAACAGAAACGATGAAGAAGTAGCACCACACAAAACTGATGCAAACCTGTAGGTGATTATTTCACTGTGTGAATCACTAGGATCCTTGATCCATAGGAACTTTGTGTAGTTACAGTCTTCTTCCTAGAGACCTACCTCAAGGAATGCCTTGCTTATGTCAGCGGTGTATGCATAAGTTCCTATGAGGAATTTTAACAGCACATTGTATAGTCTCTGTGTTAGGCTTGGACCTGTTTGAAGGCAGTCATTCAACAAGACACTACTTTGTTTTGCCTTTGCACTACAGTTAAACACTATTCCTATAGGGGTTGTAACTGAATCTTTCAGTATGGCGTGGTGTGGTAAATAGTGTCCCTCCTTAGGGTTATCATTTGATAAAATATCAATAAATTTATTATTGAGCTATTGTTGGATTATTTTATGGTTTAATTTCAGGTTCTCAGGTTGTCTATTCAAGCGTAACATCTGAGACCTTAAGTGGTTTTGTGCCATGGAAGCTGAGGGTGATTCAGCACACAAAGTAGCCTGACCTAGCATTGATTTTCCTTATAGATAACCGAGTCTAGGTATTGTTGTATGTCCATGTATCATCTGGACGAGGTTGCTCAAGGACGATGCCTAAGGTGGCTAGATCCCATAATTTATGTACCAAATAGACTGAGCTCATCCTCAGACAAATCTCTGAACTTAAGTGGTGACTGCTCTCCGCCTAGTCAAGCTACCATCACTGGGTTTACTTGTTTGTTGTCTATAGGTGTGGGGCTGCTTTTGGTTCATTACTGGGTGAATGAACAAATTCCCTCCTGCAGACAATAACAGGTTCATTCACTGCTTTTTAGTTTGTCCAGTGATGAATTTAAGATAATAGTTTGCACCTACAAGTATTCCTATATCATTGAGGTGATCAGACTTGATTTTATAATCAGCCAACTTGATGCCCCTTTCTTGTAGGAGTTTGGCTGTTTTCCCTAGACCAAGAACATATAAGTCTGATAGGATTTTGTCTACTAATGTGGCCTGTACAGGTCAGGCATAGCCAATTAGGTGTATTAGTAATTGAACTACTTTGCAGTCTTAGGGTCCTATATATGTCAAGAACCCTGATATGTTCAGTTTTATTTGTCATACTGGTTTGAGTTTTAAATGCATTAAAATTCAAACCAGTATGGCAGATTACACTTAACATATTAGGGTTCCTGACATATACAGGACCCTAAGCTGTTACCAAGCTTAGTTGCCCCAAGCAGTCAAGACCAGCTTGGGCCAGTAACCGGGTTCTTTCTGTTTTTGTGTCTAATAACCTCTTCTTTATGCTACCCCAAGTCGATGGTAAGTTTTCAAGAACTGGCTGTGGCAGGTAGTAGTGCAACGAATAATGGGGGGATAAACAGTACACAATTACACCTTCACCAATATATCATCACCTTCACCAATATATATATTAAATCTCTAAGTATTACTACACATATTTACTCTGTGTTGCTTTCGCTCAGGACACTCAATAGTTCTTCATTGTTCATCAAATCCTGGCAAGTCCACTACGTCTGGGTACATGTCGTCCACACTTAATTTAATGGTAATCACCGGCGAGTTCACTTCCACAACATGGGCCAGTCCACACACCATATCGTCACAATGTCCAAATTTCCCACTTACTCTCTGCTGAAACCCTCTGCCTGCGTGTAGGAAACACACAAGCAGAGGGTTTCAGCAACACTGTGATAAGGGGTCTCAAACAATTATGAACAGGAGTAGATAACACCCTAGTAGAAGTCTCTAGCAACACACTAGCAGCACTTCTCAACAGACGCACTACTGTTGCCTCGTAACTCTTCTTGGCCAAATCCCGAGTACGTCAGTCCATACAACACTGCATAACTCCAGCAGCTAACACACTGCTATTACCGACGGTGGCCACTTTGTCCTCTCACAGGACTAAGTCAAGAGTTCTGGACTGCCTAAGGTGAACTGCCCTCCTCAGCGCAATCGCCTCCTTATGTCACCTCTGTGAACATAAAATGTCATTAGCTAGACAGACAGTATACTGGGTGACCTTAGGATAACACACTTCTACCTGGGAATTTAAGTTGTAATTGCTTTCACAACCCAGATGGTATTGATGCCGTTTTGTCACCCACCAGAGGTAATCATTATCGACCTCACCTTCTAACTGAGGTATGAAACAGGAGCCTCTCACCAATGCCACGCTACTGCCAACAGATGGCATTGTCTGTGTTGCACCAATACCGGGGAGTTTGAGTGGGGGGGTCCATAGATGGCACCAAAATCGCTACCCCCCCCCCCCCACTCCAGCAATGGTGTCGATACCGTAACAGGCATCTGCCACCTTCTTTGTGATAATTGTCATTTGGGATCGTTGGTCAAATAAACCATGTGACCTTGGCCCTGTTATTCTTAATTATTAGTTGGGAAGTGGGCAAAGTCGAATTGTTGTCTGACTTTGTTGTTAGGACACTTATATCCTGATGTACTTTACAATACTGTATGGTGGTGAAAGTTTCTTCCTCCCACCTTAGGTTTGGGAGACTGATCTGATCTCATGTCTCTGCACAGTTCTATATGGTGTTGACCCTTTATGGTACCTGTTGCAAGTGTGTAGTTGGGTTGCACAGATATTGGGATGATGTGATTTTAAGCACCTGATGCATTTATGTAACTACTTGAGTCACCTTATACGTGTTGCATAATCAGGGTAATTTGGGCAGTGGTATATCGTATGTTCTTCTTCTTGGCAGAACAAACATGCTCTACATCTTACAGCATTTTCGGGAATCACCACCTTGGTGACACAGTGACTGTAGGTTTGGAGGGACTCACTGCGTATGTACCCCACAACTGCCATGTTTCTACCTTGGAGTGGAAGTAGATGGTTTATGTTTTAGTGGAGCACTAAATTGTAGGATCGAGTGGATCGTAACAGCTCTGTGTCAGCATAATTATCCTCAAGGAGCTGGACTGCGAGCTCAAAGCCGTCACTATTTAATGCTAAATTTGACATTACCTTTAAAGCTTCTACCTTAAGTTGACCCTGTAAGTAAAATTTAGAGGTTTTAGGAATAGTGGGTTTAGAATCCACTGAGTCAACAAATTTATTCCAGAAGTTATCCCAACTTTCATCCTCTGTTTCAGAGAATGGGGATAGACTGATTGAAGGCAGTTTGACTTCATGTTGTTTTTGAGTTAGGGAAAGCTGTGATTGATGCTTTACTCTGGCTAATTATTTTGACGAAAGGATTTAACATAGTCTGTTCATAATCCTTGTACAGTGCCAGATCAGCCATAACATCATCTAATTCTTTGTCAGATAAATTGTTGTTGGCAATTTCGGCCAAGTAATTTTTGTTTGACTTGATCCAACTTACTTGTGACTACTTGAAGGTAGCTTTCCAATTTAAAATAGTCGACTGGTGACTACTATGACAGATCTTGACATTCATTAGTCTGTCTGGTCAGGTGACCTCTGAGACCTATAAGGGTCCTTTTCAGTTTCTCTAGTTAGTCATACTGGCTGTTTGCTTAAGTCTTGTAGGGCTTATTCTTTGGTAGTAGCCTAGGGTTATATTTTCAGTCACTAGTCTACGATATCCTACTTACTTGGAATTTGGCACTTAAGTGGTAAATAGTAAATATATACAAATGATTTGAGTGGTAATCAGTGTCACTATAGGTATTACCTAAAGCTAGCTCTTTATTATTACTGTTTGTTGGATAGCAACACTTCTTAACACTCAAGGGTGAAATAATTACATGAAATAAAATACATAGTAATATAATGTAAAGAAATTAAATATATATGTAACACAACTCGTGTTGATAATTAACCAACCCTATTGATTCTGCACCATGTTTAAATACTTGCTAGGCTGTACAATATTCAGTTCAACACTAGGCAAGTATGATATCCTTACACTGGATTAGCACAATTAATTGGATTATACTAGGTTGATCATTATTAAGTTCAGTACTAGCCTAATATTGACCCCCCCCCCCACAAAAGGATCAGCAAATTAATTAAATGGTACAATATTGTACAGTAAATTAAATTTTTCAATATTTTATTTGGTTTTATTTTATATGTTAATGTTTCTCTCTGTGTTTAAGAGAGATATATAAACATATGAGCAGTAAATTCTCATCAACCTCTTGTGGTATTTTAATTAATAATTAATTGTAAACCAACAGGTAGTTTGCGGTACCTGCTGCCCTTCTCTGTCTACACCAACATCAGGAAGCTCTTCCACCTCAACACTGACCAATCCTCCAACACCATACACTGCCTTCATGGTATCAAGTAGGTGTTCACTTTATACATATATACAAGTGTCTCATCAGAGGGTGAACTTCTCTGGCATGTATCATTATTATACACGTGTTTCACCAATGGTTGCATGCTATACATGTCTCTTGTCAGTGGGTGAGCTTGAGAGACACATATCATCACAATTTATGTGGCTAACTAATGGTTTCACGCATCTTGAATGTATTATCATATTATTAAGTTGGCATATTGCATTTGTTACGTAGAATGATACTTGCTTTAATTTATCGAATACCACCCACTCCCTGTCCGGCCCGTTGTTGCCGTGAGGGGGCTTGGTGGGTGGCTGCCAGGGTATGATGTTCCATGGGACAGTCCTCTGTCCTTTTGTGGCCTTATGCTCCTGCTGCTGTCCTCACAAATTATGCTGGACAACTTTTCATTTTCCTTATCTTTCGATTTTCTCCCCACCCCGTCTTCTACTTTCTAATTGTCATTTCCCACCGACCTTTTGCCTGTTTTGATTATTCTTTCGGCCTTCTTTTGTTTTGACGCCCGGGTGTTTAAGGAGGCATACTCTTGCACCTGTAGAACTGTAGTACACAACATCTCGAGCAACTCTTTTATTGTCAATCCTTCTTTCGTCACTGAACCTGATCTCGACGGACTGACCATTCTTAAGGTGGCGTTTGTGGGGCGTATACTCACGACGCACCCCTGGGGGGCCCCGGCAAGATTGACAACATGTCTCTTGTTGAGTGCCCTGCCTCTAATTGTGGCTACGTGGTGGGTACGGGGGCACATTTGTGAATGAAAGTATTGCCTCTCGTTTCCATGTCGCTGAATATAGTTCCTCTTATGACTTCTCAGGCTCGTGGGGTGGGCGATCAAGCCCCCGAGTTGGACTGTGTTGGAAGACCGGGCTCTGTAGCCCCGTTACATTGAGCTCCTTTGACCCTCCTGACTACTCCCCCCAGCTCCCCTCCCACCTCTATGGTTGGGTTGAGCCATACGCCCTCAGCGGTGACCACCTCGTCCCCTCGCGTGGCTCGCTCTCTCATTGTGACTACTGCACTTTTTAACCCCTCTCTCTCAACGCCGTCCCTGCCACGACCGCACTCACACGATCCCTTCCCATAATAATACGTAAAAGCCTTGTTTGGTCCTGCTTCATGGGCTAAATACTTTGATCTCCTCCCTCTGGATTCTATACCTCCTGGCGATTTCTCACTCCATAAACACCTTGTTGATTCGGTGGATGCCTCTGTTACTTTTAACCCCACCCGTTTAGGTACACGTGTCGTCGCTGCTCCTTCACCAGATGCAGCTACCCGCTTAGCTGTATTGTCCTTTATTGGGGAGACCCCTGTTTGGGTCTCCAAAAATGCTCGGTTAAATGCCTGTGTTGGCACTGTTCTCCTCCTGCACCATGTTGCAACTGGCGTTAGGGATCTAAAAGACTGCCATGAGGATATTAAACATATCCTCGAAGCCCAAGGCCATCCTGTCCTCCAGGTAGAAACGTTCACTCGACCCCTTCGTGGTCGTCGTTGTCAGCCCCTTCAAGTTGTGAAAATCACCTTTGATAGTAGGACCCTTACGCCCTCTATAATTCTTGCTGGTGCCAGATGCTCCGTTCAGGAGTACATTCCCTCTCATAGGCTTTGCAATAAGTGCTGGAAGTTCGGGCATGGTGTCCTCAAATGCTCAAGTACTGTGTACCTATGCCCCAAGTGTGGGGCCGATGATCACTCTAAGTCCGAGTACACTTCTCCCCAGGCTCGCTGCCTCAATTGCAGTGAGGTCCACCCTACCTTCTCCTGCTCGTGTATACACTATAAACTTGAGGAAGCCGTTCTCAATGTGATACACCAGGATCATCTGTTTTTTCCTGAAGCGAAACGCCAAGTTCGCCGTCTCACCCCTTTCGCTAGCGTATCCTTCGCTCGCATGTTGCGTTCTACCTCTAACCATCCTTCCCACTTTACTCAGTCTCACAACCGTTTCCAGATCTTAGATCCGGACACGCCCACCGCCTCCTTCCCTGTTACTTTACGTTCTATCCTGAAGGGACCCCTCTTGGTTCTCCATCTGAAGTTTTCCCCCTTGCTACCCAGTCTGCCATATCTCCTGTGTCTTCTTTCCCCAATCCTTCTTCCCATCCCTCCCCCCAGTCTCTTGGCCCTCCACGCCGCCTGTCTGTCCTCCACGCCTCCTAGCAATCTTCATGTTGTTCACTCCCGTTCATCTTATCGTGTTGAAACAATTGAGTCTGTCGCCCAGAACGTTGTTGCTGGAACACCTGTCTCTTTAAGTCGGAAACGTAAGCCTGGCTCCTAATGTCGGAAATCCGACGCACATAATAACATAAGTTACCGCTATAAAGGAAAAGAGAATGAGTGATTCTGCGACGTCATCGACGCCACGTATTTATATTTTAAACAACAGTCTAGTGTTTAAACTTAATAAAAAAGTGTTCACTAGGACTGAATATAATTTCCAACAACAAGAAGTACAGCTTGACTCCCTTGTTATTGTTAAATAAAATCAGAAGTAGAACCAAAACATTGGCTAGGGCGTTGTCACATACACACATCAACTTGTAAACATTGAGAAAACTCTCCCTGACGAAATTTACAACACAAAAGGTTCTTTCTCCGAGCTTCGACACAGGGTCCTCTACGATCCGCCCAACCAAAGATCTCATGAACAAAGGGAGGAACAAATTTCGGTATTTCTATTGCATTTCATACTAGCCATTATTATTGTAAGAAATATCGTTAAGATGTGGGATTAAATCCCCAAACACAGTGAGTTTACTCAGCTCTACACACACACATATTATATGTCATACCTGTACTTATATGTTTAGGGAACCATTATTACTTCCTTACATCCCAAACAGGTAATTGTGAGGGAAGCTACTGAAGCAGACAGCTGGCTCCCAACATAATTATAGGGATTGCAGCCCCTAGCTGTACACCAAACCTTGTAGGCCTCCAGACAGCCGCCATTACGTGGCACTCTGAGGCACAGGGCCACACCCAATTTTGATGCTACAATTACACAGCCTTAGCATGCCCCACCAACAGTATCAGCTAAGGCCCTCTTTTGTTTAATACTGTAGATAGAGTAGTATACAGATTTAATTAAATTAAGTATAAGTACAGTAGATTAGACCACTATATGTGGTATGATTTATAATTAATATATCAAAGACTAGGTAAGGTAAACAATTTGTGGTTTATAAAGGATCCACTTCCAAGTGGTTTAAGCTACAAATTGTCCCCCCAATTGTGTGTGATAAATTCTAGTAACTGAATCAGAACATATACAATCCACTACTAACTTACTACTAACTAAGAACTAACTCAGAACAAAAATAATCAAATAAAAATAATATAATATTAAAGTCAATTAAAAAATAAATTAAAGTAAACTGCTGGGATTTTCCCACACCTCTCCTTCGTCCTCCTCGACAGGTAAGAAGGCATTGCTTTCTTCCTCACCCCCCCACCTCTGACTCCCTAGCTCCTTCCCCTTCCATTTCGATGGTCGGGGCCCCTGTCCCAGCTATGGAGGTTTCTTAAGCCCCTAATTTCCTCTCAGTTGCTGCCCTTGCTGTGGTGCACTCCCCGGTTTCTGCCCCCCCCCTCCTCCTCCTCCTGCTGACCTTGACCTCCCATCCCAGTTGTCTCCTCCTCCTCCAGACCCTTCCCGTCCTCCTCTGGTCTGTCCTCCCACTCCCTTCACTCCATCCTTACTCAGTTTACCCATGCCCCCTAACCTTAATTTTACTGACCCTGATCCTGAGCTTATTTAATATACTGTGTTGTTCTTTACCTTTGTTTCTTCATTGTTCTCTGTTGCTGTCTTTTCTCTTTTTGATAATGTCTATTCTTCAATGGAATATTCGTGGATTTTATGTCAACTTCCATGAACTCCAACAGTTTTTGGAGCAGATTACAGATTACACAGTTTTCACTACTTTGTGTATGTCTCCTGGAACCGATGCTTGGTGCTCGTCCTGGTCACTTTCATGGTTATTCGTTTCTTTCTCTCTCCCCCCCCCCCCCGCCCAACTCTTGCTGGGCCCATAACTCTACTATTCTCTTGATTCGTACTGATATTCCCTTCGTCCCCATACTGTTTCCATCATCTCTCCATTGTTCTGCTGCCCGTGTTTTTGTGAGTATATGGTATACAGTCTGTTCCATTTATCTCCCCCCAAATGTTCCGCTTTCCCTTCCTGATCTTAAGCACCTCCTGGACTCCTTGCCAGAGCCAGTGCTCCTGTTGGGTGATTTCAACTGTCGACATACTCTCTGGGGTGATGTTCTGACAAACACCCGAGGCCGCCTTCTCGAACCGTTCGTCCTCTCTTCTTCTCTCTCTTCTGAATTCTGTTGAGCCCACCCATGTGGACTCTTGAACTCGCACTCTTTCCTGTCTTGATCTTTCTCTCCGTTCATCGTCCCTTTACTTAGATCTCACGTGGCGGGTTCTTGATGACCTCTATAACAGTGACCATTTCCCCATCCTCGTTTCCTATTTCTCTTTTCACCCTCCCCTCTCCTTCCATAGGTGGCAGTTTGCCAAAGCTGACTGGAACCTATTTACCCTCCGTGCTACTCTCACTGACTTCTCTTCTCTGCCTCTTCCTCTCGCCATCCTCCTTTTTCATGACTCCATCTTCGATTCTGCCCTCTGCTCTATTCCTCCTCTCTCTACCTCCTGGGGCATGCAGAAATGCGTTCCCTGGAGGAATGCGGACTGTACTCCGGCTGTCCGTTGTAAGCGCAACCCGTCCTCTTAAAAAGAACGTCACTTTTGGCTCGTATGCACACTATGGCTAAATTTGGACGTAATTTGAAATGAAATCGACTCACAAAAGTGACGTTCTGTTCCGTTTTCTGTTTGAGTCGGCCGGCGTACGCGCAGAGGTTATAAGAGGACACTTTAATTAACGTTTTTCATAACGTTTTGAAACTTTATGAGAATTTCCTGCCCACCTAACTTATCAGAGGACCCTT